GAGCAGGATGACGGAGGGCAAAGCCGTGGTCCGCCCCGGACTCGCACAGTTAGGAGCTCACAGGGTCCTTTCTCAGGGTGGCCAGACTGCTTGCCCTTTTTCTTTTCAGTAATGTGAATTCTAGCTGGCCCCTCTAACCTAGGAAAGGGGTCAGCGCACGGAGCACCACGGGGGCGCCGCCGCCTGGCCTCTACCTGCCCGCTCAGCTCCTGAGCCCCGTGCAGTCTCCTTCATGTGTGACCCAGGCCAACAGCCCTGGTCCTTCCTAGCTGACCGGTTGGGAGCTGAGACCCTAAATCCACAGGTCGTGCTAACATTGGCACACCTCAGAGCTTGAAATGATGGAATAAAGGCAGCTAGCTCTCTCCCACTCAGCAGGTAGTAAACCCCAGGCACACAATCTCCCCAGAATCAAGAAGCGGGTGGATAAAAATAGGAAAGGGGCCACTCGGGGATTTAGGAAATTAATGAATAGTAAGCAGATCGCGGGCTTTTAAGGACTCTGGCGCTCTCTCCCCATCAAAAATTCATCTGTTCCTAAAGCCGTAGCCTTCCTCTCTTTGCCTGGATCTGCTCTAACTCATCGATTTTATCGGGCATGGGTTTCCGTGTCTGAGCAGCTCTGAAGTGGGTTTGTCATCGGCGGTGCCAGGCTGAGCCGGCTTCTTCCTGAGGCTGTGACTAGCCTGGTTCGAATCTCACTCGGGCTCGGCCAAGCCCTTCGTCACCTCACCCTGTACATCCAGTGGCCTCTCAGGGACGGCGGGCAGATGTCGTGTCAGCGCTCTCTGGAATCAGCGGGTTTTAAGTGGACACCGCCGTGGTGCCCTCGCGCTTTTCTCGTACGATGCAAGTACCTTTAAAGAAAATGATTTGTTCCTATCTTATGTGTACAGACATCTTGATCGAGAATGTGTCCATGCACCACACAAGTGCCTGGTGCCTGCGGGAGTCGGGAGGGGGGCGTCAGGTCCCCTGGAGCTGGAATTAGGGATGGCTGTGAGCCTCCGTGTGGGTGCTGGGAACCGAACCCTGGTCCTCTGCAAGAACAACAAGTGCTGAGCCACTTCCAGCCCCCTGCAGCTACCATTTTTAAAAGGCACGCGTCGTTTTAAAGGACTCTGTGTTTATTTTGGGGGGTGTTTTTCAAGACAGGGTCTCACTATGCAGCTCTGGCTGTCCTGGAACTCACTCTGTAGACTGGGCTGGCCTCAAACTCACAGAGATCTGCCTCCCAAGTTCTGGGGTTAAAGGTGTGGGCCACCACTGTCTGGCTCTGTTTTAACTTTTAATTGTGTGTGTGGGTGGGGGAGCGGGGACGGGGTGTTTGTATATGTACATGCAGTACCTGTGGAGCCCAGAAGAGGGCATCAGATCCATGAAGCTGGAGTTCAGATAGCTGAGTGCTGGGAGCCAAACTCAGATCTTCTGGAGAGTAGCAAGTGCTCTTAACCCCACTGACCCATCTCTCTGCCCCCCCCCACTGCCCTTTTAAATTTTATTATTTCCAGATAGTCACCATGGCTCTTCAGCAGGGCAGGTGCCTGCTCAGAACAAGCCTCCCCTTTATCTGTTTGGATTAAATATTAACTAGATTCCAGGTAAAATAATGCCTAGAAGGTACACGCAAGGCAAACATAACTGTGTAATAAGAAATGCAAACATGTTTTAATTTAAATTTTTTATTTGCTCCCCTGGGAATGAGCCCAGAGCCTCAAGCAGGGTTACAAAAATCATTCTGCCACATCCAAGCCCCTACCGTGATTTTCTTTTTTTAAAAAACCTTAGTGCATCTATTATTATTTATTTATGCATGATCTGTGCGCATGGATGGGCGTGTGCATGCCGTGGCACGTATGTGGAGGTCACATGATAACGTGTGGGAGCCAGTTTCTCTTTCCATCTCACGGGACCTGCGGGTTGAACTCCCGTCAGGCTGGGCCCCAGGCACCTTTGCCGATTCAGTTGGTGAAAAGCCCTTTGACAACTCCTGTGTGTGTCTCCTCGGACTCTACCCTATTCCCTGTCCTCTGTTGTCTCCAAGTGTGAGCGTGCTTACTTCTGTTTGTATACCTGTGCGCACGTGTGTGTGCGTGCGCGCGCACTCCTGTGCCTGTTTGCGTGCATGTGTGTGCGTGCGTGCATGTGTGTGTGTACATGCATGTGTGTGCGTGTGTGGTGTGTTTGTACACATGCGTGCTTGTGGGGAGACAGGTGTCCTCCTCAGTCATTCTCCACGTGATTTACTTGCAGTCAGGGTCTGTTTGCGAGCCGCCGGCTGTTCCTGGGGCTCCTCCTGTCTCCCTCTCCTCAGGCTGGAGCTGTTGAAGCTGCGCGCCGCCACACCCAGCTTCCCACGTGGGTGCCGGGATTCCGAGCTGAGGTCCTCTTGTGTGCGTGACAGGCATGTTGCCAAGTCAGCTCCCCCGTCTCTTTACTCTTGTCATGTGTGTCCGTGTGCTCACACGACGTGCTGTTACATTCTAGTGAGGAGACACACATGGTATAGCTACTTCCCATTTCCTCGTTTCCTTTTTGTGGTGCTGAGGTTGGAGCCAGGGCCACAAGTGTGCTACCAGGCTCTGCCCAGCCCTTTTCTCCTCTTCCTCCTCAGGTGTCTTCTCTCTGACTCTCCCAGCTCCTTCTGAGCTGTTACTTTCCCTACTGAACTGCCAGCTTCAGGGACGGCTGCTACTGAAATCCTGTTTGTGTGGGCCAGTCTATAGCCTGCTTATTTATTGTGACCTGACTTTTCTTTGTGTGTGTACATGGGTTTGCATCACGTCTATGTATGCACATGTGTGTGCTGGGACCTTCAGGGATGCCCTGGAGCTAGAGCTACAGACAGCCGTGAGCTGGAGTGAGTTACAGGGAGTTGTGAGCTATAGTGAGTTACAGACACTTGTGAGCTTGAGTGAGTTACAGGGAGCCGTGAGCTGGCTGATGTGGGTGTCGGGAACTGAACTCAGGCACTCTTAACTGCTGACCCATCTTTTTGGCCCCTATATCCTCTTCAGATAAGTGCCTACTTGGCCAAGCAATGCTGTCTCCCTGGGGTGTCAGGATGTGTGTGCATTCGTTCCTCCTGCTGCCTCCTGTGTGGCAGCGGCGGGCACACAACAGCTCTGTCCCCACCCTGGGCCTCGGGTGCAGGCACGAATGGGCATCGTCGAGTGGGCTGCAGAAGGCAGGCCTGCAGTACTGGCGAGCTCAGAGCACACGGGAGGCAGTTAGCTACCCGGCAGCGGATGCGGCAAAGCACGCGGTGAGAGGCCGCTCTTGGCGCCAGGCCGTCGGGTTTGCGCTGTGCGCGGGTGCGGTGGTGGCTGGACTGGCTGTTTGCGAGCTGGGGCACGCAGGCCAACGATGAGGGCAAGGGCACATCTGAATCCTGTGCTCTGATGATCGAGTCTGGGCTGGAAGTCAGGGCTCACCGGAGCTCACGTGTCCTGCCCTGGCCACACAGGTCCTTCCCGTGCAGAGCAGGGGCAATCGTATACTTGCCGCATGAGGACTTTGTGGCACCAGAGCGACGCATGCTGGGTGCTTGCTGCACCAGGTCTCAGGTGGCAAGCTTTGGGCCCCGTGTTCTAGGCGGGGGCCCAGTCTGAGGAGCTGCCTTTGCCCCCCTCCTCCTCTCCTGTCACTCACGCTGCCCTCTTCTGTCGGCAAGTCCAGTCAGTTCCAGGCAGAAATGACTCTAGGTCCTCAGCCACTGCTCTGACAGGAGCCTGGCCATCCCTCCCTCCCATCCCTTCCCGTCTCCACAGCCTTGCCACATGGCAGGCTGGGGCCCCACTCACAGAGTGGCTCCGGCCTGCTCCAATGGGGTCATCCAGGGGCTCCCCCTTGGAGCCCAGAGCGCTGTCCCTTTACCTCATCCCACAGGACCCCAGCTCCCCTCCAGCCTCGTCTCCACCATCTCCTTGTTGCTTCTCTGCGTGCAGCCCCAGCAGGCCCATTGTCTCCTACAGCACAAAAATTAAAGACCCAGAGCCTGACGCTGGGGTTCAGACTTCAAGCTGAAGGTCAGAAAAGCAAAGTAGAGGGACACTAGCTTCTTCTACCTCAGGCTGAGTGAGCTGACCCTGCTGCCTCTCCTCAGCGTGGCTGGGAATCTGAATGTCTTCCTATCTTCCGTGGGGCTGGAGAATCAATGTCCCATACTGAGACCCTGCTCCGGTCTTATTTACCTTCCTAACGCTGGGATTTAAGGCGTGTGATCCCAGGTGCTGAGATCACCTTTGTGTGAGCTGTTTCCCTTCAGGAGTGGATCAGTCTTCTGTAGACCAGGCTGGCCTCAGACTCACAGAGATCCAACTACCTCTGCCTCCTGAGTGCTCGGATTAAAGGCATGCACCACCTACGCCCGGCCTCAGGCAAGCTTTAATAAATCATAAATAATATGTCACTACAATCTCCTGCCCCAGGGATGTGCGCTTGAGCGTCTCTTCACCTGAGATGTCTCTGGTCCCTCTGAAACAGCTCACAGTTTTCTTTGTTCTCCTTCCCATTTCCGTGTACCCTGGCTAAGTGAACTCTTGCAGTGGGCCATGGGGTGGTGTTTTGGGTTCTGTTTAGTGGTCAGATACATGAGCCAGTCAACTAAGTAGGCACATTAGGAGGTGGCTGTCAGAGCTAGCACCTATGTCTTTCTCGGCCGCCTGCTGGCCAGTGCCCAGGGAGCAAGGCAGGCTAGGAGGCTAGCCAAGATCCACAGATGTTTCTGCCTAGCCCCGAGACTAGTACCTTCCCAAGACAGTTCCTGAACAGGCCCAGTGGGATGGTCGCTCCTCTTAGAGTAGCTTTTGATAGAGGGAGGGTGCCCCAACTGCTCCCCTTCCCTGTCTCACGTTGAGGTTCGCTGTGGCACACCTTGGCATGGGTTCTTTGGATGAAGGAATGAGGATACCAGGAGAAGTGATGGGAAAGTGTCTTACCGCCTCGGGGACAATGCTGACAATGTGTCGTGCCCCCCCGCCCGCCCCCCCTGTCTCCAGGCCGAGCCAGTTTCTATGAGGAGTACGGCGTCATCCGCGACACGCTGCAGAACCATCTGACTGAGATCCTCACGCTGGTGGCCATGGAGCTGCCCCACAACATCAGCAGCTCGGCTGCCGTCCTGCAGCACAAGCTCCAGGCTTTCCAGGCCCTGAGGGGGCTGCAGAAGAGCAGCGCCATCCTGGGCCAGTACCAGGCCTATAGTGGGCAGGTGCGTCAGGAGCTGCAGAAGCCGGACAGTTTCCAGAGCCTGACGCCGACCTTCGCAGGTAGGCACCAGGCTCGGTGGCTGTGGGGGGGCCACCACCAGCTGGGAGCAGCTGGGACACCCAGTGCCCTTTTGGAGCATGGTAGCTCGGACTCCAAGGAATCTTGACAAGAGCGCTACTCAGTGCATGGTGATCACCACCCCCGCTGCCGGCCACCTCCATCAGCCTCCATTCTGTCCCAGAGGGGTCTCCCGAGGACGCCCCTGTGGGGTTCACATAGGTGCCACCGTCATGGGCTGTGTACCTAGCTTCCCTAATACGGCAAACCTCTGTCCAGCCACAGCCAAGGAATGTCTCTGTGGACAGATACCACATTGGCCAGCAGACACCTGCTAGAGCCCCCTGGAAAGTTCCAGAAGCCTTCTGGGGAGAGCGGCTGGCTCCTAGCGGGTAGAGACTGGCCATGAGACAGCCCCTGCATATGAAGGCCGTTGGATGTGCCGAGCAGTGTATGTACCTGCTCTCACTCAGTGCTCACACACCCACCAGGCAGGCGCCGTCTTCGCCCTCGGTGGTGAGGATACAAGAGGGGCAAGTTGAAAAGGCAAGGTCTCAGCTAGGCTTGAACTTGTGCACAGTGTGCCAGCGCCCGGCGTCTGTGACCAAGGCGCGCACACACCTGCACATATTACTCCCAGTCCACAGACTCCCCCGCCCCCCTCCCCCACCCACCCAGCCTCTACGCATGCTTGACTTTGGGCATTCTGGGGGCTGCACACAAACAGAGCTGCCCTTCCTCAGGACATTGCCCTTACCCGTCAAGATCCAACGCGCCCCTCACCCCTTTGGCCCCGCCGGAGAGCCTTCCGTGGCAGGCTCCAGCCCTGGTTAGACCAGGTCTCTCAGCGGGGCCTCAGAGTGCTGGTGTTATGGCCGTAGAATTAACCCCGCTAGCCGTTTCCATCCCTTGCCTGGGAAGAAGAAACATCGGAAGGCCCAGGGTGCCCAGCAAGATGGGGGCTGGGCGGGCGCAAGGTGGCCTGGGCGGGAGGCGGGCTGCACAGCCAGCTCTCAGGCTGCGCATGCGTGCGCGGCATCACTGTCTGCTCTCTCCCCGCCCCAGGTGTCCTCGTCCACATCGACAACCTGCGCTGGGAGGGCGTTCCTTTCATCCTGGTGTCTGGCAAGGCCTTGGACGAAAGAGTGGGCTACGTGCGGATCTTGTTTAAGAACCGGGCGTACTGCGCCCAGAGCGAGAGGCACTGGGCGTCAGAGCAGAGCCGGTGTCTGCCCCAGCAGATCGTCTTCTACATCGGGCACGGCGAGCTGGGCCACCCCACCGTCCTGGTCAGCCAGAACCTCTTCAAGCCCTACCTGCCCACCCAGAGCTGGGAGGAGGTGCCGGACCAGCCCGGCCTCCGCCTCTTTGGCCGTCCTCTGTCTGACTACTATGCCTACAGACCAGTGCGGGAGCAAGACGCCTACTCCACCCTCTTGTCACACATCTTCCACTGCCGGAAGGAGTCCTTTATCACCACCGAGAACCTGCTGGCCTCCTGGGTCTTCTGGACCCCCTTACTGGACAGCCTGGCCCTCGAAGTCCCACGGCTCTACCCGGGCGGAGCGGAGAACGGCCATCTGCTGGATTTTGAGTTCAGCGGTGGCCAGCTGTCCTTCTCCCAGCCAGAGGTGCTGATGCCAGAGCTAGGGTCAGTCCCCAAACCCAGTGACTTCCAGGTCCTCAGGGCCCAGTACAGGGAGAGCCCACTGATCACCGCCTGGCCAGAGGAGCTCATCTCTAAGCTAGCCAGTGACATTGAAGCCACCGCGGAACAGTCCGTCCGACGCTTTGGCACGTTCCACCTGGCGCTGTCAGGCGGGTCAAGCCCCATAGCCCTCTTCCAGCAGCTGGCCACAGGGCACTACAGCTTCCCCTGGGCCCACACGCACCTGTGGCTGGTGGATGAGCGCTGCGTCCCTCTCTCAGACCCGGAGTCCAACTTCCAGGGCCTGCAGGCTCACCTGCTGCAGCACGTCAGGGTGCCCTACTACAACATTCACCCCATGCCCGTGCACCTGCACCAGCGGCTTTGTGCCGAGGAGGACCAGGGCGCCCAGACCTATGCCAGCGACATCTCAGCCCTGGTGGCCAACAGCAGCTTCGACCTGGTGCTGCTGGGCATGGGCACCGACGGGCACACGGCCTCCCTGTTCCCACAGTCGCCCACCGGCCTGGACGGCGACCAGCTGGTGGTGCTGACGGAGAGCCCGCTCAGGCCGCACCAGCGCATGAGCCTCAGCCTGCCCCTCATCAACCGCGCCAAGAAGGTAGCCGTCCTGGTCATGGGGAGGACGAAGCGTGAGATCACCATGCTGGTTAGCCGTGTGGGTCACGAGCCTAAGAAGTGGCCCATCTCCGGCGTGCTGCCCCTCTCCGGTCAGCTGGTTTGGTACATGGATTACGAGGCCTTTCTGGGATGACAGGAGCTCACTGGCCTTAGTCGTCGCCCTCAAGCCTTTCTCTCACTCGCCCAGTGTGCCTTGCTGTCCGGAGCCTGGTGCCAGAGTCGGGCCCCAGAGAAGGGAGGACAGCACTCTGCCCCACTTCCTGGGCCCTGTGTAACCGTGGTGCCTCGACACAAAACCAGGCAGAACTCAGATCTCTGCCGTGGTGATGCCTCAAAAACCCAGACGGGAAAGAAGCTCTAACCCTCTGCCAGCTGCTTGCCAGTGTCTACAGCGCACAGTATGACAGGGAGAAGGCTGCAAGTTGAAGAGCCAGCGTGGTGTGCGGAGACTGGCCGGCCATCCTTGGACTGGTTTCTGTAGGAAGGGGGGCCAGGGTTGCTGGAGAAAAGGGTGCAGATCCCCCGGGTGGATGCAGTGCTCCGAGCCAGGCAAGAAGAGTAGAAATGGTCCTGAGGTTCACCGGGCAGCCTGCCTCTTCTGGAATGCCTTCATCCCTCTGTGTATCCGGCTGGTGTCTGGTCCTCCTTCAGGCAGCTGCTACCTGCTCTGTGCCCAACAGCCACTGTCCCCTTCATTCCCCTGTATACCGAGGAGGGACAGAAACAGACACTGCCACGTCGAAAGGCCCCCCCATCCAATCTAGACACCTGGGCTCCCCTCTCCCCGCTGAGAACTGTTCTGCTATCGCTGGGCCATGGGGTGTCTCTGATCTATATATAGATAGGGCTCTTTGTCTGCTCCCGGGGATGGGGTGACTACAGCTCACAGCCTCTCTCTAGGGTGTGTGTGGCCAATTCCCAGCACTAGGGGGCAGGCTGGAGCTAGCTCTCATCACACTACCTCTCTAGGGCTCCAAGCCTGGCGGCTGGTTCTCTCTTGCCTAACCCACCGCTAACCTGGTACCACTGGGAACAGAATAGACAGCTCCTAACTCAGCGTCCTCCGGGGCCTCTGAATTTTTACTTTTGGTTTTTCGAGACAGGGTTTCTCTGTGTTGTTTTGGAGCCTGTCCTGGAACCCGCTCTGTAGACCAGGCTGGTCTCGAACTCACAGAGATCCGCCTGCCTCTGCCTCCCGAGTGCTGGGATTAAAGGTGTGAGCCACCAACGCCCGGCTCAGTTTTTATTTTTAAAAAGAAACCCAGCAGCATAAAGCAAGCTTCACGGGGCACATGCAGTTTTTGTCTCGGCCTTCTGTTTAGTCACCAGAACAAGGTAGGGCACAGAAGGGTCCCGGCCTCACAGCCACACTCTGTGTCAGTCGCACAGAGTCTCAGTGTCTTCCAGAATTTTCCCAGAGAGGAGCATCAGGAAATTTGTTTCTGTCCTTTAGGTTGGTTGTACTTTCTCCCAGGCCGTGCGTGGAAAAGAACCTGTGCTTTCGCTAGAGATGTGTGCACAGTGTGGCCTGAGCCGGGGCTCTGGGTGAAAGGCATTCCTGTTAAAATTCTGCCTACTCTGGCCTCCAGTGACCCAGACTGACAGAACTCCTCCTCCATTGCAAAAGCGCCCACCGAAAGGACCCATAATGCCCTGGGATCCTTTTCTGGCTGGCATAGTGCAGGTGAGCTTCCACCTTTGGCCACGTGGGGGAGCCCACGCGCCACCACTCACATTCCACCCAGGAGGCAAGCTTAGTGCCAAACGTCATTTCTTTGTTTTATGGTCTGCTGCTCTGGTTTCTTTGCCCCAGCGCATTCTCATCTGTTGTTTAAGGACTTGGCCCTCTGAGGTTTCAAAATCAGAGATTAAAGGGCCTTGAGTGCCTCGGGAGAGAGAGTGAACAGGCTTTGTGTCACCATTCTGAATAACAGTGAGTCACTGCCCAGCCTGAGCCTAGAATGTCCTGTTCTTACCCAGAAGAATGACTGATCTATGTGTGGGGAGTTGCACCGAGGAGGCCAGGGTGGGGAAATACCGAAAGTTTCCTTTCCGGGAGCAGGCACTAATAAAATCGCATTGGGAGGGCTGGCGGGAGACATGGTTCTCTGGCGTGCACCTGTGCGTACCCTTTTCCCTTCTGCCCCGGGGTCAGGAAGGAGTGATGCTCAGCGTCAGGACCCCCGAGGCTGCGGGCTGCTCTTCAGACCTTGTGGACCTGTCATCCATGGCAGACAATGTGCCTTATACCACCTGTGTCCCCAGTCTCGGGAAGGCGTCCTCAACCTCAGAACCCGGGACTCCCTCAATTCTCCGTTTTTTCATTAAAAAAAAAAAAAGATTGTTGCCTGCAAGCCACTCACGTTGTTGAGCCTGTCACAGTGTGAAGCACTGCAGCCTTTGTCTGTTTCCTGCCTGCCAGGAAGTGGGGAAGTCAGCCTGGGAAGAGAGGATGGGTGTCCAGGTCCCTATAGAAAGGGGGACATACGGCCTCTTGTGTCTGGGACACGGCCTTCCTTCCCCAAAGTCCACTTCCACTCAGGCCCCCCCAGGGGAGTGAGGCCCCGCGGCTGTGGGAACCTCAGGCCGTCTCCCCGGGCTGCCTCAGAGCCCTGGCGGATGCTGCTGGTTGCATCCCCATCCCTCACTTGGGGACGGGGACGGGGGGGGGGGCCGGGGGGCTCGTGATGACTCGAGGCAAGCAGAAGCCTGCCCTTTGCTCGGGTGGCTCTTGCGTGTCTCGTGCAGATGCTAAATGCTAGCACACTTTGCCCAATTTGCTGCCGGTGGGGCCTCAGTGACTGATGATTTCAAAGTGAAGTCCGGTGGCATCCAGAAGCTGTTAGATTCTACAGCCCTTTCCCAGCACCCTGGGGGCCTGATTCAGAGTCCTGGAATGGGAAGGATGTGTGAATAACAGAAGGAGCCTTGGGGTGACATGCCAGCACAAACCCTGCCGCTCGTGAGGGGCCCGTGGGTGTCTCAAGCTGGACTCTGACTTCCAGCCGTGGGCAAACGCTCCTGCTAATTAATTTGTCACTTACTCATTTCTTGCTTCTTTTTTATGATTAAATTGCTTTAAGTTTTACGTGCATTGGTGATTGGCCTGCATGTATGTCTCTGTGAGGGTGTCAGGTCCCCTGGAACTGGAGTGACAGTTGTGAGCTGTCATGTGGATGCTGGGAATTGAACCCGAGTCCTCTGGAAGGGCAGCCAGTGCTCTTGACAGCTGAGCCATCTCTCCAGTCCATATTCTCTGCTTCTAATTACTCTACAAAAAAAAATCTTCTCACTTTGGTCCCCAAATTAGCAGTGTAATCAGAGTTCCCTGCCACTTGGACCAAAACCTTAGACCTTTCCCTCAAGGGTCTTCTCTCCAAAAGAAAAGGGCTTGGCCTCCCCAGTTCTCTTTGTTGCCCTCTTTTCCCATTCTGACAGAGAGCCAGGGATGTGGGATGGAAAGGGGAATGAAGAAGCTTCCAGAAAACCTAAGTGGGACTATTTCTTGGAATTTGATTTTCAGGAACTTTGTGTTTTTTGTCTCCTACAAAGTGTGTGCAGCCCCACAGAGTGGCTCTGCGGCAGATCTCCAGCTGTGTTTTTTATCTTGAACAGCTGGGGGTCCCGCAGGCCTCAGTCCGCCGCTAGAAAAACCTACCGACAGCATCCAGTGTCAGGGAAGGAAACCCAAGTTGTGGAAGGAAGTCACATCGGTTGGCCAAAGTGGTCAGTGTTGTTCTTTTGCTTAAGGTTACCACGGCGAGATGGAACACGAGATACGAGAGATACATTAACCATAGAGTTGATTATGGGTGGGGAGGGAGAGCGAGAGCCGGGAGAGACGAGAAGAGACTAGAGGAGGGTCAGAGAAGCGAAGAGAGCAAAGAGTGAAGAGAGCATAAGTGGGCGGGGCGGGGCGGGGGTCTGTCTTTTGAAGGGGTCCTTTGCACCTGCGTGCAGACTAGCTCCCATGGAACCCTGGGCTGACCAGAGTGCTGCCTGAGTGCATTCTGCCGGCTCACAGGGCCAGGCCGGCGCGTAGTGCCTGAACCTTTCAGTCAGTACCTGTCTGCCCTGGGAATGACACTCCAGAGGGGGAACCAAGGGTCTGAACAGGCCACTGTCCCAGGGTGTCACAGACTGCACAGGTCATGAGGCTGTCTGCTGGCCTGACTGTAGGAAACAGGCCCTTCTGCTCTCCTCCCCCCGCACTCCCCCCTTCTACACCCCCAAGGTCATGCTGTGGCCTAGGGACCTTGGCACTTGAAGACACGCTCATGGCTTGTTTGGAAATATCCACGGGAGATAGGATTGTACTCAGAGTTAGCCAGAACCCAACATGAACCAGCCATCAGTGCTGCTCTGTGTGGGCCCGTTTTAGCTGCTGCGGTGGGAGATGCCCAGCGGAAGGTGGAATCCGGGCCTGACTCAGCCTTGTCTGCACGAACCTTGAGCCCAGCAGAGCTGGTGTTAGCTCAGCTGCGCGGTCATTCGGTTGGTTGCAAGCTTGCCTTGCTTCCTTCCACACGCTGCGTCCCACACGGGCTCTCTAGACACAAAGCTGCCCTGCCTCTCTGGCCCTTTCACTCGCAGCAGAACGGCCTTGCAGGTATCCAGGGATTCCTTGCAAAGGGCGTGGCCTCCGGCGGGGGTGGGGGGTGGGGGGGCAGGAATCAAACCAGAATGTGTTCCTGGAAGATACAAGGGGCAGATGTCTTCCATGAAGGCCAACTTCTGCCTTCTGCAGGCTGTTCACACCTACTGCAGGCTCCTCACACCTAGAGATGGGTGTGAGGAGCATCCCCCCCACCCCGAGAATCCTTCAGCATCTAGCTGAGCAAAGGTGTCAGTCAATTCACCACTGCTGTGGCCAACACAAGATGTCCTGGCAAGTGATCTGAGGATGCTTCACTGTGGTCCAGCCATGGGATGGAGATGGCTTGGGTGCAGTGATCTGAGGATGCTTCACTGTGGTCCAGCCTTGGGGATGGGGATGGCTTGGGTGCATTGATCTGAGGATGCTTCACTGTGATCCAGCCTTGGGGATGGGGATGGCTTGGGTGCATTGATCTGAGGATGCTCCACTGTGGTCCAGCCTTGGGGATGGGGATGGCTTGGGTGCAGTGACCTGAGGATGCTCCACTGTGGTCCAGCCATGGGATGGGGATGGCTTGGGTGCATTGTCCTCCTATCAATCGTCAACCCACGTTGGGAGTATGTTTATTTGCATGCCAGGGGATGTCCATGTATGTCTGTGTGTGGCCATAGACAGGACCCCAAATTAATGACAATCTGTTCATTCTTTGACCTTCAAGGGTGGGTTTTGTTAAAGTCCTGCGTTGCTTCAATGGCTGGTGTTTTAAAGGAAGCCCTGAAGAGGGGGCCTCAGCCAATGAAGGAAGTCTTTTGTGTCCCTTTCTGTTGAGTGGCAAATTCCTGCATTTGCCAAACACTGTTGAGTTCATGAACAGCTGGGAGTTGGCATTGAAGTGTAGGTGCACATAGACACGGTGTGTGTGTGCGTGCGTGCGTGTGTGTGTGTGTGTGTGTGTGTGTGTGTGTGTGTGTGTGTGTGTGTGTGTGGTCTTTGACTGTGCCTCTCAGAGGCCTACATGGGCTGGTTATGATGTGTTAAGGGAATGTAGCTCAACCGATAGGACATTAGCCTAACATGTAAAACGCCCTGGGTTCCATCCCCACTGCCACACAAACTGGGAATGGTGGTACACACCTGTAATCCTAGCACTTAGGAGGTAGAGGCAGGAGGACCAGGAATTCAAGGCTATCCTTGACTGCATAGCAAGGTCAAACCAGCCTGGGATAGATGAGATCCTGTACTGAGAAAAAAGAAAAAAACAAAAAACATTGTGTATTCACAAGGCAGGGACTGGGTTAGCAGGGAGTGAGAATGTCCGGGTTGTTTCCCTTGGTGTGCCCGGGGGGTCTGGTACAGTTGGCTCCCCCTGTGCCTGTCCACTTCAGAGAGCCGGGTAAGTGGACTCCAGTAGTCACCAGGGCTGCTGCTGCCCACCTGTGCCTGAGTGGGGAGCCCGATTCCCCAAAGACGGTTAGACTTCTGAGTCACCATGACAAACACCTAAGGAGGAAGGATTTATTGTGACTCATGGTCATTTCAGCCCAAGGTCCCTTGAGTAAGTGTTGTTTGTGGGGGCCAGAATTGGGGCAGAACGTCATGCGGGAGCATGGTGACCCGGGAGTGGGATAAAATAGGCAAGGAAGAGGCAGAGGCGAAATGTGGCCTTCGAAAACTTGCTATTAGGGACCTGCTTTCTCCAGTGAAGGCTGACCAACTGCTTCCGCCTCTGAGAATGCTCTCATATTACAAACTCAGCAAGGGATGATCAGTGACATCAGACACTTCAGGAAACAGTTCCTCCAAGAGCACCAGCTGGCAACCCAGCTTCCAGTGCAGGAGTCTACAGACAGATTCCATCCTAGTCATCACAGAACATCAAGCCACTACCGTGCTGAAGGCCTGGGGCGGGGCCTGTGACCCCAGTTATGTCCTTACTCTCTGCCCTATAGAAAGGAACATGGGGGTCTGAGCCTTTGTCAGGTAGGAATGGCAGTGGGCAGTGGCATAGTTGGGAATATCCAGGAGCAAGACTGTGGGTCCCCCTCCCCAGGGAAACTGTCCCAATCTTATGGAGACTGGCACCTGTGCCAGAGAACCAGAGACATTAGAACAAAAGCCTTTTAAAACTTCCTGAGACCCTTTACATCTGTCTGTAAGTCAAATGTAACACTCTTTTCTTTTTTTTTAAATAATAAACTTTGCCAAAATCCAAGTTTCTTCCTTTGGGGATGGAGTGAAGTGGGTTGTGAGCCTGGCTGACGTGACAGAGGACGTGGAGCAGAGACAACGCTGGTAAGTGCTGGAGTCACCTGGGAAGAGAGAGACCCTCTTCTGGTCCCCTAGGCCACCTCCACACACACACAGACACACATGCATGTGTGCTTACCAGATACATACAACGCATGCACACACACGTTCATATACATAAGGTTTTGTTTTGTTTTGGTTTTCGAGACAGGGTTTCTCCATGTAGCCTTGGCTGTTCTGGAACTTGCTCTGTAGACCAGGCTGACCTCGAACTCAGAGAGATCCTCCTGCCTCTGTTTCCTGAGTGCTAAGATTAAAGGCGTGTGCCACTAACCACTGCCTGGCCATAAATAAATTTTTTAAAAAATTTGATTTCTTGGAATATAAAAATGCTGCTCAGAACACAATTGAATTTACATATCCACCGTGAAAAACAACTATGAAGCTATAAAAAAAAAGCTCCTTTCTCACGACTCCTGTGTCCTTTGACCTGTATTTCACCCTCCCTTG